TCATGATGCGACGCGATGAAAGTAAGGTAAACAAACAAAGAGCACGTGAATGTACGTGGGGGATCCTGCTGTGTAACCAGACACAGCTTGGCACGACGGGCTCCTCGAACTCGGGTGGCCGAGCACGTCTACCGCACAATACACCTTCCTGAATCACGCCACCCCAAAGCTTTACGTAGCGCACAAAAGCCACCTTTGCTATGGCGGAAGTGAAACCAAAACCGTAAGGATTACTGTATAATAGGTGCAGGAAGTGAACTGTAAGTATATAGTCATGAAAATTTATACGCCTTGCTGTGGCTGAGATAATAGAAGAGCAACAAAATGGGCGAAAGAAGTCCAAGTACCGGAAAGAGGATGAAGGATTAGAGCACGTAATTAAGGCCTTAACTCTACGATTCGGAGAAAGCACACGAAAACCTGCCTCTAAAGGCACGAGAAGTGATGGAACTGTTCGAAGATGTGTGGGTAGCGATGGTGAGCCAGAGCGGAAATGGCGGTGTGCTTGTAAGGCTTTCGAGACAACTCTGATGTTTTTGTTCTCCTGAGCCCCAACGTTTTTTTTTCGTTCCATTTCGTATCGAAGCGTGCCGACTGAAGTGCGCTGTAAGGACATTTGTACTGACTGGCAAAAGCCGTGTGTGAGCGCGAAATCGGCTGGCACCGACCAGGCACCGACTTAGAGCGATAGGGCCGCCGGCGGGCTGGTCCATCGCTGACGTCGCCGCCGTCCACGATAGACCTCCGGTGATAACCCCAGGCCATCCATCCCACGCTCTCACTTTCATCCGACCAAAGAGCAAAGCGCATAATGCCCTTCCCGATTTGATCAACTAACGTCTTCCAACGGTTGGAAGAATTTTTCGAAAATGTTCAGCACGAAAGAAATTTCGCTTCAGCAAAGAAGCCAGCGATATAATACGAACCAAAAGAATGTCCTCGAAGAAACGAGGGCATGACATCGAACGCCACGAGTCTTCAACGGACGCCCTCGTACGCTACGTAAAACATCGTGCTAACGGTGACTTCCCGTGAGGAGTTCAAAGAAATACTTCGATAAAAAAAGAGCGTTCTGCAAGTCAATCACATCTCTGACGAAAATCCCAAACAACCTGATAGTGTAAATGTTGTTTGAATTTCCCGCCAGATAGGAATTTCTGCTGACCAACTGATTGCGTGAAGCCGTATGGTTATGAGTCAGAAAAGCAAACAAGCTGACGAAAAACGCTTTAGAAACTTGCAGAGTCAGATCAGCTCGAGAAAAGACTATGGAGGGTGAGATACAATTGAATATTTCATTAGTACATTCCGAAGTGCTTGGGTTTATGAAAAACGGATAAAGCGCTAAACCATGGGTAGCACCCTAAGAATAGACCTAAAGGGACAGCCATCGATCCAGAGTAGTGAACTATTGTATTTCCCAACGCTTTGAACAATGAAAATATTTCAATATTTGGAAAAGGAATGGCCGAAATTTTAAAAATCGACCATTACTCCAATGTTGTTCGGGGGGCGGGGAAGGGGGAAGGGGGCAATATTGCGCCGCTCAGTTTCAGGACTAAGCCTTAAATGAGAAGAAGGAAGCAGTTTTCATTCTCCCCGAAACTCGTCCCTCCGTTGGGCTTGATCCTAGGTAGTCTTCCTACAGACCGCTTCCCCCCCCCC